AATTTAATTTGTCATATTTTTTGATTGAAGGATTTATGATCCAACTTTAAAACTAATACAGATAGTTTAAACCGTCATTTATAACAATTTTAGCAAAAAAAAATTTCAAATATTTTCATTATAGTGCGTCAACGGGTTGACAACGGTTTTAAAACGACATTTCTGTTACTTAGATTATTCGGTAGAAGGAGCTTATTTTTTCTGTTGCAAATTGGCGCAACTATATATTTAAATAGCTGTCTAAACGTTGATGCAAAAAAATTCGGAAAATGTTAGTTCTTACCCACACAGCAAACAAATGTATTTAAAATATTTATTAAATATTCCACTTATAAAGATAATATTTAATAATCATTTGTTTTTCATTTGGTATATAAATTAAAATATATTTTGTGAGTCTTATAAATAATTGTTGAACCAGAAACATTTATTTCCTAAAAAACAAAAACTAAACATTTATTAAATATATATTAACCAAAATTGTATAAATATTGTAACTTAATACTAAATAATTATTTTCTTTTTAATTAATAAATATTTTTTTAGAATTTCAAAATATTTGTTGTATACTTATTAAATATTTGAATACTAAAATTTAATAAATATTGTTTTTATATTTATTTTAAATTTATAAATACTAGTTTTTTAATTTTTAAAATGATAAAAAAATGCAGTAGGAAACAAAGAAATGTATTTAATTTGGATACAAGTTTGATAATTGAAGATAAAAATTCAAACATAAAAGTTGCAGTCAGTAAAAAAAGAAAACTGTAATATTATTATTTCATATAATTTTATAATTATTCCATCAAAATTATATCAACACTTTTATAGAGCTCGCTTTTTATACTTTATACACATTTTACATGTCATATAGGTATTATACATTGTTTTTATTGAGTAAGTATTATAAATACTTATACAAACTGCATATAAATATTTATGGGCAGGAATAAGTGAGAAGAATATATATTTTTTTGAATGTAGTACGCATACTCTTTGTTAATATTTTTATTAAAAAAAAAAAAACATTAATTAAAATTAAAATAATACAAATTAGTTTTAATCTGAGCCAAATTATATAAAAAAAATCTCTTCGTTTTTGAATATATCTGTTATCCAACATTATTGTTTGATGATCTGAAAATAAATTATCATAATATTAAAATTAAAATTTTATAACATTTTTATATCTAGATATAAATACTATTAGATATATAGATTATAAGACTAGATTTCATAGATGAAGCAAGTTTTCAGAAAATCATTTCAAGTAATTCAATAAAACTAAAAAATGTTAACAGCTCTTACGTGATCAACAAATTCTGTTTTTTATTTGTTATTATTGGTCATTAATTTATAATATTTGTATATTTTAAATATTTTAGTATTATGGCATAACCATAGTGATTGTAGATTTATAATTGTAAAAAATATATCCTATATACCTACTATTATTTATTTTTCTTATTGAATGGTGCTTGCGCCAAGTTATATTTAATTCTTTCTTCAATCTCATCTATTGATGCTGCCTTGCATAATTTGTTGCTTTTTTTAATAGAATCTGAAAAATATTTTGTATTTACAATAAATTATATATATGTATACAACATAAAATCTTTTAGCACATTTCATCTAATTTTATATATAATTAATCTATAATCTAAGACAAAATGTTACAGGTGCTTTTTAAAAATAATGAGTTTCTATGTTATAATTTTTTGAATATTATATTGTTTGTTAATACTCGTAATTAACAAATAGCTATGGTACTATAGGAGAATATAATCAACATAATTCTTCTTCTTTTCCTTCGCCTTATTCTCTTCCAACTATTTGGGGTCGTCAATTTCCACTTACTACGATCCTTAGTATTCTCCTCTCAAATCCTCCTCATCAACATATATAATTAACATTCAATAATATACACACAACTTACCAAAAATAACAGCGCATACAAACAAATTGTTGAATTTGTTTTTTCCCTTCTTTCCGGTAAAAGAAAATTGAGACATAAGTTCATCAGCAAATAATTTGTTCATTATTCTTTTTACCATTAATCTTAAATTTTTTCCGCCCGTACAAGATAGTTCATTTACCTAATCAAGAATTTAAAAAATATTAAATTATTTTAAACTTTATCATTAAATATTTAATTACCAATTTGTTACGAAAATTTTTGTCCCCAGAGATCTTATCCTCAAGAGTATTGAGATCTGTTATGTTGTCAATAGGTAATGGACAATCTGTTAAATCATTGAACAGACTTTCGGTTAACGTTTCAGAATTACTGTAGTTGTTGTCAGCTGCGTTTTCAATTTTTTTTAGTATTTCTACCTGTCCAGATTCTAAATATCTTACTTCACTTGTTAAGTATGTTAGCATGCGCAATACCTGCTTTTGAAAATCTAAAAATATAAAATAATTAAAATATAATTTTCAATCAAATAAAAGGTGTAGCAGTTTATACAAGAATAAATTTAAGTATGTTTATGTAGATATGAGATGTATATATATGTCAAGACACGAGATGTACATGTATACAGTGTATTGAGAAAATTTAACAAATGTAATATAATATTTTTGAATTTTATATTTTAATAGGTACTTTAATTAAATCTAATTTTTAATTTGGTCGTCACAATAAGATTAAAATGTAAAAACTAAAAGATTAAATAGTATGTATAGCTATTTTGTATATTTCATTTTTAGAAATAGTTGTTCAAGTATTGGTAAAATATGTGTAGCTTATAAATTATTATATTGTAATTACTCATAGTGTTTGAATAGTGTTGAGAAGTATCTTCTGCTACAACACTATGGGTTGAACCAGGGTGTTCCACATCATATTTTTTTCCTTTATCGGAAGAATTGGAATGTGAGACACATAACTCATCTGGCTTATTTGAGCTGTAAAACAATTTTCGCACTACACCTTGTTTGTTATCTGAAAAACATTTAAGGGGGAATTTCCAGTAATTTTTTTTTTTTTTTGATTAAGTCGTTAAATTGAGAATTCCTATAGTTAAAACTAGGTTTAAGATGAAACTAAAAAATATTAAAAAAAATTTTGGTAAATTTTTTTAGCAGTAAATTGTGTCTAAAAGTGGGAATTTTGCATTTTAAGTTCCTTTCCACTGTTTTATGTTTTATAGTTAGGAGTCTGTAACTTTGAATACATATTCTAGATATGTTGTTTGGTATACTACCGTTGGCCAATTTTTGATATATAAATTTTTTTTTAAGTTAAAATGGTTCAAACTTACTAAAAAATAGTACTTAGTTTTCAAATCGTTTTAAATTTAAACTGTAAATATATAAACGCATTACTTTTGACATTTATTTTTGAAAATGATGAACCACATTGTTGTTGACTACCAGATGAACGCATGTGTGCAGGTGTATCTTTGGACGGTGGCTTTTTTTTCAATAGTGGCTCACTATTATCTAAATCAAACATTTTACAACCGTCTGATAAATATATTATACTATGAATAAAAATACATTAAGTAACAAAAGCATATTACATTCAATGCTTCTTTTTGAGGATAAAGGTTCAGTGTTAAAGAATTGTTTTTCACTAAATGGTTTCAAAGTTTCGTTTGAAGATTTTTGTTTGGATGACCACTGCTTCATAGAGCGGGGCTCTCTATTAGTATCTAAAAAAAAATACCATTATTTATAAGATGGGTTAAATTTTTATCATTCACTAAAATCCTAATTCATTAAAATAATAAGATACCTTCATAACTGCTAGCTAGATTATCCAACTTTAATGGCGACCAACCATTTTGGTTTTTTCTATTGTTCATCAATTTGATGGTTTTATCTGATGGACTCATGACTACAGGCGATGAACAGTTAGGATCCTTATTATACATCAATTTTTTTTCTGAATCAATACCTATTTATAATACAATAGTTAAAAATAACTGTATAAGTCTATAACAAATACATTTTTAAATATAATTGCTATATTTCAAATATGACAAAAAAACAGTAAAATATAATACCACTTTACCATTAATAACAGCTACAGGTACTTTTAAAACTGTTGGCGATGAAGAACGATCACTTAAATGTTCAGAGTTAATCATAGCAGTTGTACTTAACTTAGATTTGTTACATGGCAAATCATCATTATCAGAATCTAAATTAAAATCAAATGATATTCATATTAAAAGTATTAACTGGTATATCATTCAATTTTATACATTATAATTGTTTAATTTATGATAGGTACATGGATTAAAATAAATTTAAATCAATTGGTATTTGAAAATAAGGCACAATATATCGTGCATTTTTTACCTGAAAACAATGGGCAAGAATTCGTAGATGAAGTAGGAGAATGCATAATTTCTTTTCGGGGTTTTCTTCTAACTCGAACTGTTTCATCTGCAGATGATAAATCAGTATTGGTCATGGCTTTTATAGCTTTATTTTTGGCTTCAACTAATGAATCTACAATAACAATAGTTTTATCTTTAAATAATAAATTTAATACAAGCATATCTATAACCTATTTAATATCGACCTAATATGAAAAATTAATAGGAATATTATATTATATTTACCAATGCCTTTGTATAATTCTCTGCTATTTAAATAAACAAATTCAATTTCATTAGGCATACTTTTTTTTTCAATCAGCCTTGAAGCTGTTTTATTTTTTTTAGGCCAAGCACAGGTACCATGTTTTTTGTTGACCCAATGTCCTGGGACCGTTTCAACCGTGTTGTCATCAAAAAAATGAACAATTGAGTATGGCATACTAAAAATAATAAAACATACACACAACTACACAAACTAGGTGTCCTAAAATATATAAAATAAAATTTTTTTAATATAACTAAATTTATAATGTAACAAAACGAAGTTGTTAAAATAAATACATAAATAAAACTTTTTAAGTTACATTTAATATCAAATGAGTATCATTATATATTTTTAAAGCCTTATTAAATTATTTACTGCACAAATAAACATTTATATATATATTAGTTATTTAATGAATGTAGGATTGGTAACGCAATTTGCTTATTATTATGAAAATTGAAAACTATATATTTTTGAAACGAGTGACTAATAGTAATAGGTACAATATTTTCTGATAAATTTGAAACATATGCTACTCCCAGTTTTAAACTATTTATCGGTTTGTCATAAAACGGTTCAATATTATTGAATTCCTTGGCGACAAAAAAATTTAATCCTGTTATATGATTACAACAAATATTTAAGACTTTATAAATATGCAATATCCCTTCTTTTGAAAAGCCAATAAAACAATCTGTAATTGAGTTAGTTTTAATTTTAACATCATAATTGACGATGACAATTTGGAATTGTGAAGTAACATTGCCCAATATCGGCCCATTATTATGAGGTTTCTTATACTCAATAGAATTATGAGGTAATAAATTAGATATAGGAGGTTTATTACTAAACTCAAGAAGTTCTTGGTATCGCTTAATGACTTGTTCCAAAGGTTTTTGATGTTTACGAACCATTTTTTTTAGGGACTTCATATAGTTTTCAAAAGGAAAACAAGATGATTCATCTAAAGGACCAAATTGTTTGTAGTCATCAACAATATGAAGAAGCCCATGTACGTTGTGAGACATAAATTTCTGTCCGTAAATTATACCAAATTTTTGAACGAAATATGACAATAGTTTTTCTACAAATCCAACAAGTTCATCACTGCTATTTTTAACTAGAAGAATCCTAAAGCCAATATGCAAACACATGAAATGTAAATAGCATTCATTGTTAAGAATATCTTTTAAGACTATAGGACCAATATAAAGAAGAAATAGTCTAAATTCAGTGGCTTTCCATCTAGGAACTTCGTTTAACCCTCTGGGAAATCTAGAAAAATCAGAAGTCATAGAAGATTTTAAAAACAACAAATTACCTGATATTTCTTGTACTTTTTGGTTTTGTAAACGAACAGAAATGGGTGATCCTTTTATATTTCCTAACCACAACATAATTAATTTCTTAACAACCCCTAAACAAGTTAAATGCATATAATCCAAACTAAAACTATAAACCATATCAACTTCTGGGAGCTCTGTCAAAATAGATACACTATCGGTCACATGATATTCTTCATGTGTACGATTGATGAAATCTAAATGAGTTTTTTTAATAAATTCTCTATCTGGAAAACACACCCTATTATCTAAATAGACTCCTTCAACATTACACCTAGTACACGAAAAGAAACCACTGTGCCCTTTAGTTTTTAAAATATAGCTTTTTGCTGGGGCATCGCAGCAAAAAAGTTCTATCACTACTTTTTTAGTACCATGGGGGGTTTTAAAACCAATTTTATATAGATCCTTAAATTCATCGACCATGTCTTTTAAAAACAAATTACTATCCTTTGCTTTTTCTTTACCCCAATATAAACCAACTAAAAATATTTTAGGTTTTCCAGGAAAATTACGTACATATCCTAAAATAGGCCAAAAACTACTTTGGGAACTCTTTGTTAATGGCAAGCCATCGATACCAATTACAATTTTTATCGTTTCATCATGAAATTGGGACCAATCACCCAAACTTTTTAAACCAATTTTTGTACCAAAATGATAATATATACCTGGTGTAATGACTTGGACTTGCTTAGTGTCAATATGTTTGTTGGTTTTAAGAACTGTTCTAGCATCCTCGGGAAAAAAATTAAAACATTTATGTTTTTTCAAAGTTTTTAATAAATCAGAAAGAGCTACGTTAGTTATGTTATATGAAACTGCCCAGTGACATAACATTTTTAAAATAGGATCTCTATCATCAGTAAAATATTCTGACAAAATAGTTTCATCTCCATCATCAGAATCAGTTGAACTTACATTTAATATGAAATCATCTTCAACAGTTTCAAGTGTACTAGAATTATTACAAGATGCATATGTAACTTTTTTACTTTTATCAATTAAAGGGCTACTGGGTTCAATTAAATCACTTATAATATTTATAACACTATTGTCAGGTACAATTAATTCACTTGTAGTATTTTGAGTTTCTAAAATATTATCAAAAAGCACAGAATTCTGATTTGGATTTTCAATATACACATTAGTGACCTCTAAGTCTTCCAAAAACCTTCTACGTTTTGTAGACTTACTAGGATGTGATGACATAATTATTAAATAAAATAATTTTTAGAATGAATTAAAACTATTAGGTACCAATGTGTACCCTATGTGTGTAAGAATATTTTATAATTACCTACTACTAAACAGTGACGTGAATATTGAAAAATTTGATGTTTATCACAAAATATATTACGTTATATAGGTACCTACCTAGGAACCTCTAAACAAATAAAATAGAATAATAAAATTATTTATATTTAACATACAACAAAAATCTACCCAAGTGGCGAAGCATAATATATTATTATAGTTTTAAAATAGTACATACCTGTGTGTATATATGATTTATGTATTGTTGTCTCGTTACGCGTTCACACTTCAAACAAAACGGTAAAGCACTATAGAAACCTTAAACAATATAATAATAATATTGTCTTCAGTCTTGTCTCTTGTCTCTAGACTATAGTAAGACAGTAGTTACTACAAGTCACAAGAGCTGTAGTTCGCTTGGAGTTGTGGTTATATTATGCAGGCGTGTCACAAGTCGGAGTACCTCGGGTGAATAACTGGACAGTGGACGATTGAAAATTGTTGTCAATTGACAATATTATCAACTACGGTCTACGGTGTACGCCTCTATATACGCGTTACGGACAGGGAGATGTGATAATGTAGAATTTATTTTTGTATAACTGTGGGTTTTTGACGACCGTTATCTATTATTGTTCCGATACGAATATTATTATGAACGATCGTCGCCCGCAGTCGAATTATATATGTTATATCTGTATCATTGTGTGTGTGTAGTGTGTGTGTGTACTGTGTACGCCGTGCGTTCCAAGTTTTCCAACGACCCACGATTATCATAATGATACACAAATTAACACAATCATGTAATAATTTTAACATTTGTGCCTTGTGGCGCGGTGTGTGCATTCAGTTACGAAACCCGTTCTGAGTGTACACACTGGCCGGTGTCACTAGCTCCCGGATGGGTGACCACCCCTGATTTTTAGTGACAAATCATTGCCACACATACACACACGTGTTAAAAACCTACAGTACCCTCCCCCACAGTACCCCAAGCTAACGACCTCAGCTGTCGAAGCATAAACCAAATAAAAATTTCAATATTTACTGTTTTATTTCATAATTATAAATATAAATTGTCCGTCACAGTGGATGACTGGCGTCTGGACTTGTATCTCACTACTATAAAGGCCAATAATTAAATAAGAACCGATGTCTATTATTATGCTATAATGATAATATGTTATAACTTATAGCATAATATATATATATAATACTCAGACACAAATTTGTTCTAACTCTATATAGGGCACATTCATAAATAATATCTAATGAGCAATTACTATGTATTATAAGTAATCACATAGGTAATACCTAGGTAGATACTAATATACTATATATACCTACCTACTAATTATTAATTAAAAAATATGTATGACAGTATAATTTACGTTTGTCGTTTATTGTTATTATAGTTATAACTTATTTTAGTATTAATAAAAGGGTAGGTAAAAATTACTGTGATGCCATGGTGGATGACGTTGACGTATTATATTAGAATTCAATGATAAATCGTAATGTAATATACGATGGAAATGAGACGGCATAAATAAGCAGGTCTGTTAGTTTAGATTTGTATTATATTAGGTATTACTTGATATTTACTATTAGTAATTATATTATAGCTAAACTATTATACCTACCTAACTAAACTAAATATTCTTAAATTCGCAATTTGTTTATCGACTTATCGTAAATAATAATATAGGTACCTAACTTATATACGTAAGTACGTAACAGTGTAACACTAACCGTGTACGCCTTTTTACATGAAACTATTTTATTACAAATACAATTTTATCGAAATAAATTACGTAGAATTGGTCAATCCCAAACAAAATTGGCTCCACGACTGCTATAATATATTATGTTCTGTACCTATATTTGCATGTATTATGAATTGTTTCAAAGACCATTTTTTTTCAAAATCATAATTCAAAATATAACATTATTACGAAGTACAAATATGTTACACAAATGTAAAACCATATTAAATTATAATAATAATATAATAATCTCACTATCTCAGTTTGTACTTTATACATTTATCAATTTATATCATCCGCAATATGCAAATACGAACTTTTAAACGTCACGTCATTATATATACGATATACCTATATTATATTATATACAAGGTAATTATTGTTAAGGATGCACAACCTCATTTTAACTTTAATAGTAGGTACATTTCTTCGAATTCTTATAGCAGTTTTAAGTTTACATAGGTAAGATCATATTTTCAAATTCCTGATATTTTTTTACTACTTAAGAAGTGTTCTGTGGTGATAATACAAACTTCTATTTTTCAAATGCGAACCCCTTTTTACATTAAATTATTTAGTGGATGATTTTCTTAAAAACTGTTATGCATCAAAAGTCTAATGAGTATAGTTTCTGAACTATTAAAATGATTACATTATAATATTACGATATATAGTAATACTTGAAATAATATAATATAGACTACATAATAGTATCCTATTATTTAGTATACAAAGTAATATAATATATAGAACTCAAATACTAATTGTATACGAATTTCGATTTTAGATGAATCAAAATTATCAAACAAAAATATCTACTGAATAATTAAAAAAATAAAATAAAAGGTGGGGTCCGTATTTGATAAACCGAAGATTGTCACAGGATCATCCTTCTGCAATGTGTTACAAAAAATGTCAAGTATTCCAAAATATTGTCTTCAACTGTATTTAAAAAAACCAAAATCAGAATTTAAATATAAACATAAAAATAGAGATAGCATGCTTATAAAATAGCACTTTATATAGAATTATAATTATTAATTATACATAAAATACACCTAACGTCTATAATTATTAAATATTTATAAACAAATATTTTTTATATATCTTAATATCATTGATTTTTAAAATTGTACTATCTTAAGTTTATTAAATATATTTTAATTATAAACTTACAAACATATAAATTAAGGTTATTGTTAAACTTGAAATAAATATTTAACTATGAATATTTAATTTTTAATACATTTTAAATATTTAATTATTATTGACTTAATTGCATTTAATATCAAATGTTTAATAAATATATAATAATTATTAAAATTTCAATAATTAATTTAAAAGTTTACTAAATATTGGGTAAATATTTTGTTACAAATATTTAATTTAAAATTACAACTAAATATTTATTTAATTGTTTTCATTGGAATATGCTGTGTGGGTACTTACATAGGTGTCGGCGACATACCTGTTGAAGTCTTTTTCACTACAAATTTTATTTGTTATATTATTTGATTGAAGGATTTAAGATCCAACTTCCAAACTAATACAGATAGTTTAAACAGTCATTGATTAATACTTTTGGCAAAAATAAGTTTCAAATATTTTCATTATAGTGCGTCAACGGGTTGAAAACGGTTTTAAAACGACATTTCTGTTAATTAAATTATTCGGTAAAAGGAGCTTATTTTTTCTGTTGCAAATTGGCGCAACTATATATTTAAATAGCTGTCTAAACGTTGATGCAAAAAAAATTCGGAAAATGTTAGTTTTTACTTACATAGGTGTCGGCGACATACCTGTTGAAGGAGTTTTTCTACAAATTTAATTTGTCATATTTTTTGATTGAAGGATTTATGATCAAACTTCAAAACTAATACAGATAGTTTAAACAGTCATTGATTAACACTTTTAGCAAAAAAAATTTTCAAATATTTTCATTATAGTGCGTCAACGGGTTGACAACGGTTTTAAAACGACATTTCTGTTACTTAGATTATTCGGTAGAAGGAGCTTATTTTTTCTGTTGCAAATTGGCGCAACTATATATTTAAATAGCCGTCTAAACGTTGAGCAAAAAAAATTCGGAAAATGTTAGTTTTTACTTACATGGGTGTCGGCGACATACCTGTTGAAGGCGTTTTTCTACAAATTTAATTTGTTATATTTTTTGATTGATGGATTTATGATCAAACTTCAAAACTAATACAGATAGTTTAAACAATCATTGATTAACACTTTTGGCAAAAATAAATTTCAAATATTTTCATTATAGTTCGTCAACGGGTTGAAAACGGTTTTAAAACGACATTTCTGTTAGTTAGATTATTCGGTAGAAGGAGCTTATTTTTTCTGTTGCAAATTGGCGCAACTATATATTTAAATAGCCGTCTAAACGTTGAGCGAAAAAAAAATTCGGAAAATGTTACTTTTTACTTACATAGGTGTCGGCGACATACCTGTTGAAGGCTTTTTTACTACAAATTTAATTTGTTATATTTTTTGATTGATGGATTTATGATCCAACTTAAAACTAATACAGATAGTTTAAACCGTCATTAATTAACACTTTTAGCAAAAAAAAATTTCAAATATTTTCATTATAGTGCGTCAACGGGTTGAAAACGGTTTTAAAACGACATTTCTGTTAATTAGATTATTCGGTAGAAGGAGCTTATTTTATCTGTTGCAAATTGACGCAACTATATATTTAAATAGCCGTCTAAACGTTGAGCGAAAAAAATTCGGAAAATGTTACTTTTTACTTACATAGGTGTCGGCAACATACCTGTTGAAGGCGTTTTTCTACAAATTTAATTTGTCATATTTTTTGATTGAAGGATTTATGATCCAACTTTAAAACTAATACAGATAGTTTAAACCGTCATTTATAACAATTTTAGCAAAAAAAAATTTCAAATATTTTCATTATAGGGCGTCAACGGGTTGACAACGGTTTTAAAACGACATTTCTGTTACTTAGATTATTCGGTAGAAGGAGCTTATTTTTTCTGTTGCAAATTGGCGCAACTATATATTTAAATAGCTGTCTAAACGTTGATGCAAAAAAATTCGGAAAATGTTAGTTCTTACTTACATAGGTGTCGGCGACATACCTGTTGAAGTCTTTTTCACTACAAATTTAATTTGTTATATTATTTGATTGAAGGATTTAAGATCCAACTTCCA